GAGGCACAATCTCTTCAAGAGCAATTTGTCAGAATATTTCAAGAGCCATAAAAACCTTCTAACCTTTGATCCAAAGGTTTTCTTACTGCTAGAAATATATTTGTAAGGAGTGAATTCAGAAGCACAATAAGAAGGAAAATAAATTACAGTAAGTGAGCACCTACATACTCTACGCCAGACGCTGGTCGAAGCACCATTAGACTACATGTGTTTTCTCGTTTAATTCTCTACCCCTATAAGATGGATACCATCTTTATGCTCACTTTACAGATGATAAAACTGAGGCACTCAGAGTTTGACAACTTTTTATATAGCAATAGAGCCAGGATCCAAATCTAGAGCCAGTCTTCTTAATTACTACTCCACACCGCCTCTCAACGATCAAAATATCTATGCGGCATTACCTGTAATGTTGGAGCAAAGGAAACACATTTTATGCCCAGTAATATACGACAGTGAACTGTAGGGACACCAGGCCATGGACTCCTGTGCAGGTGCAGGCAAGCAACTGATTATAGTGACGATTACACAGCAACATGGGGGGATGTGGAAGGCAGCAAGGAGGAAAGGATGTCTGGGCTGCATCCAGAGGAATCAGTAAAAATAACTCTAAGTTTGGTTAGAGAAATACTCAGCTCCAAGCAGAGGAACTCAGGCAGAGAAAGGAGCCTGGCGTAGCCTTGGAATGGCTGAGCTGTAGAGACCAAAGGGGAGCAGTTGGAGATGCAGCTGAAGCAGAGAGCAGAGGCCAATGGCCCAGAAACCACAAGGAGGCAGCTGTGTCTCCAAGCAAGAGATGGTGGGAGAAACCCCGGAGCCTCTTGGGCAGTACAACCAACAGGGCTTGGTGGTGAATTACCTGTGCAAGCCCGGGTGTCTTTGTGAATTGACGGGCTGTTCCCAGAGAGAACTAATATAAGAGGAGGGGAGGGGGAGCCTTGTTGAAGAACCTGAACTTCTCTGAAGACCTGGCTTGTGTGACTACAGATATTTACATTGAGAGCATTGAGAGCTTACATGTTTTCCTTTTGCATACATATGTTTGTATACATATATTTGTATATTTGGATATACAATAGTTAAACTTTGCCATTTGCAGCTACTGAGATAATACTTGTTGAGAGAGCCCAGATGAGGTGTAACACGGAAAAGGTTGAAACATGGCCAAGCGTGAGTTAAAGGAGGAAAACAGATCCTAAGATGGCCAGGGAAGGCATAAATGGCAGATCGTTTGAGTCACTCAGCAATTCCAGGGACGAGCCCCTACGTCACCACTGGAACGACCTGCCCTCCATCCACTCTTGCAGAGCAGTTTGAGATTGACCCAGAAATTCCAAGTGGCCAAAGCCCTTCTAAGGGCCACGGTGGATACAAATCAGCCCATTAATGTCTGCTAGGATCCAGGTCCTCTCCCCAGAAGTGACCCTTGCCATAGGACCAGCAATGATGGCATTTGAAATGGTGACTTTAGTCGGTCATGTCCCAAGGTCAGCAACACGCCCCAGCTGGAACGTCATCGGCCTCAGGGCCATCACAGTCTACCTGATGACTTGGTCCTGCCCCCACACAGAGGCCCTCCTTCCTTGGGCAGCTGGGGATTGGTCCTGAGCTAATCCAGTGTCCTGTCCGAGACCCAGGCTGCTCTAGACTCTATTGCCTAAAAGTCTTTGGGAAGAAAATGGACACTGTCCCCCTTCCCCAGATCATCAGGATGAGAAGCCAGCACCACAGCCCATGCTCCCTGAGCCCTAGCCTTCACTCGAGTCCCCTAAGCTTCCTCAAGATGTTGGAGCTAGATGGGGCATGGGGACCACCTGGCCCAAACCCCTCCTTTTACTGAAGGGAAAACTAAGGAGAAGAAAAGGGATTTGACCATCGACACGCAATGGGAACTAGAACCTGAGTTTCCTGACACCTAACCCAGTGCTGACGTATATTCCTCACTCCCAGAACTTCGCCCAGCTACTCCAAACCTTCTG